CTGCATTTTAATAGGAATGTAACAGCGGCCTGTAGAGACAAATGGACCATCATCTTTACAGATTGTTTTTCTCCTCTAACCTCGTCTGAACTGTTTCATTCAGGGCAGGTGTACTTAAATCGACCGGAAGATTACGTTTTAACACGTCGTGCATTCAGAGGTTCGATTTCCATGTTTAACGTTGATCTGACTTTAGGATTATTTAATATTCTTTTGTTACTGTCCGCATCTGCATATCAGTGTCAGATACTGGAGCTCAAACTAGACTATTTAAATAATGTAGTGAATTGTCATGACGTTTTATGTCTCTGTCTATTTGGATTTGCTTTGACAATGACAGTTGTTTTGACTGGGATCGAGATGAGCAGTATTGATTTTCCTCTCATTGTTCCATTTACCAGGTATTTCTCCACATCTCAGATCAGTGTTGTTCAATCTTTCGTGTCTTTCAAGTGGACGGACAGAGGGAATGAGATTAAAGGGAGGTTTCTGAAAGGTGCTCGTTACAGAGCAATCAAATTGCTAGACAGGTTTGATGATACATCAGTTAATATTAGCTACTCATAATTAATTTTTTTAAGATGAAAAGTAAATGTCCAATGCTGTAATATCAGAAGCATTCACATCATAAAGTAAGCTGTTTGTAGTAGGGACGTGCAAACATGAGTAGTTGGCGGGTTGACTAGTGTACTAATCTCTCTTAAAGAGATAGTTCAGGCAAAAATTTAAATTCCGTCATTATTTGCTTACCTTCACTAAACGTACATGACTGACTTTCCTGGACGGTGGTGACAGCAGCGGCAATCCACCTGTCACTCAAGTGGCCACACCCTTAATTATGCAGAACTTTAAGGCTTAATATAATTTAAACGGATGAGATATAAAAACATTCACTCCCCTCACAGTTGTCATGAAGGGCAAAATTAGCCATATATACCAAAACCACTTTTTGTACCAGGCTGTAAACATATTTTTTTCTGCTGTAAAGTTGGGCATTTTAACATGGGAGGTCTATGGGACTGACTCCCTTTTGGAGCCAGCCTCTAGCGGCCAGTCGATGAATTGCAGTTTTAGTCACTTCCGTGTTGGTTTCACGAGAGAGACCAGAAGGTTGCCGCTTGCATGAAACGGAAGTAGCGATTGCCTTTTTTTCTCTACTGTGACATCAGTTTGCTGTTAGTTGTGGGGGGATTTCTCTCCACTGGATTCACCCCGACACCCTAGCATGAAGAATTTTTTTATTTATTGAGGAAGACGACGATGAGAACGATCAACGGCACAAAACATGCCTAACAGCACGCGTGTGAGAGAGAGAAAGAGAGAGAGAGAAAGAGAGAGAGAAAGAGAGAGAGACTGCCTGAATGACAGCGCGTCCTCCATCAGGTTAATTCATATTCATAAAAAATTGTTTGCGATGTCCTAAGAGTAATTTTGTGGTAATATCCTTTCAATTTTTAAGGGTAGTGTACTCCCCCATGTCTTGCGTCAGCACTGGTCAATGCATTGATTTCTATAAAGTGAAGCATCAGCTTCAGCTCTTCCCCCTGTTGTTTATCCCAGCATTTACCCCTCACGTCACTAGCTCCGCCCTTGCACCATAGCTCGTGACCGGAAGAGAAGATGAGTCGTTTTGAGGGGGAGGGGAGGTTAACGTTTTTGATTAAAGATTACAAGGGCACACGAATTTAAAAAATAATGAAGTGCACTGATAAATTATTTATAATAAACAACTCAGTATTCCATTAAAAAATAAGAATTTTCGATTTTGATTTCATGCCGACTTTAAATACATCTCTTTAAAAGCTGCATTCTTAGCAATATAAAGCTAAACAAAGGGAATAGATCTAGATAAACACATTAGTTAACCTCAATAATCTGCCAGTCGACCATCAAACATCTGCATTAATGTGGTACTGCTAAAAAGCTTGGTTTATGCCATGTCATTATTGTACAGTGTTTTCAAAGCTTAGCTGCACAATAATATGCAATTTTCAAGCCACAAGGCAGCATTCAGTAAGATAACACTAGTATTTTTCCAGCAAACACAAATCTGTAGAGAACGTCTGTTAGCTGCTGACAGCGGTGCTCAGCGTGTCCACTGCGGTTGAGTGGATATTGTTTATGGGAGGCTGGGCTCTGTCAGGCGGTCTATTTCAGACCCTGTGTCGTGGCTGCAAAGGGGCACGACGCAGCAGATGCTACAGATTGTGAAATGCAGCTAACACGCATTCTGTCTGCGCCCTCAACCGAATGGCACATGACCTCAGCAAACATCCTCGGTCAAATAAAATGACCATATACCTGAGGGTGTTGACTCGTTGAATTCGAATAGAAATTCGCTTCCATTACTCCGAATGATCTTCAACAGAATGTCCTGGATTTAATATTTTACCACGACCGTTCCTGGTGGTAGCGAGTTTGCTTTAATAGCTTTTTTCAAGGTGAAATAATATGCCCCTGTTCATAATGAGCCCGTGCATGTCTGGCAGCGCCCCGGTTGCGGAGCGGTGATAATTAAGGGCTCTATAGCAGGAATAAAGGTTACGTCTGCGGCGGGTTCGCTCTACTGCTCGTTGATGCAGCGCACGCGCCGACGGTGTGTCTGTGTGTGTGTGTGTGTGGCTGGAATTCACATGAAAGGACTCGGGCGAGAGAAGGGAACAGGAGTGGGCGGGGGACGAGTCGTTGATATGTACAGCGTGACTCAGTTAAACATACTGGAGCATTTAATACGTTTGAATTAAAACAAATATTTAGATCGAGAGGACAGATTAAAAGGACAATCGGCATGTTTGACTTTGACGGGTGGTTTTGGGCATTACGGTTCGCTTGTGGCTGTAGCTACTTCATTGAAATGGAGTGCATATATTTGTTCAGGTTCTTTGTGTACCTTTTCTCGGAGGCATGTTTAATTTTTGATAAAACTAAGCCATAAATGTTTTTTTTCAATCCACTGGGTCACTACGTCTGGACGGTAAATATTCCATAGCTCTGCTGAAGCTAGTTCCGTTATGGACGTTGGTTTGGTAGACAAGCTCGTTGCGTTTCTCGAATCCAGATCTAGCCAGGTTTATTTTAAGCATCAGATGATGATGGCATATGCTATTCAGTTCATTAACAGCTTTTGCTGTATTAGGCCTAATTGATTCAGACCTGCTTGATGAATATTTCGAGTGCCTGGAGTCTTTGAAGTATGTGCCCTAAACCTTAAAGGGGTCATATGATGTTGCTAAATAGAACATTATTTTGTGTATTTGATGTAATGAAATGTGTTTATGCGGTTTAAGGTTCAAAAAGCACATTATTTTCCACATACTGTACATTATTGTTTCTTCTCTATGCCCCGCCTTTCTGAAACTTTTCTGAAACTTTCTGAAAAACTTTCTGAAACTCGATTTTTACAAAGCTCATCGGTCTGAAAAGCGAGGTGTGCGAGCCAGCTATCCAGTGCGTTGTGATTGGCCGAATACCTCAAGCGTGTGACGGAAATGTTATGCCCCTACCATACTGTGATGCCGTGTCCCGGAGCGACGAGAAAAACCCATTATAAACGAGGAACTTGTTGCATCCAGTTGGGACATAATTACGGATTATAATGACTTATACTCACAGCACCCTGTCGAGAGTATTATCAAAATAAACTATGAGCCAGAGACGCAGTCATGTTTAGAATATCAAGCGTGGATTTATGAAGCTGTATTCCTAAATAAAACTGCTTTTTTAACTTTAAAGGAATAGTTATTTTAACAAAATGCTTGCATTCTTCCATGGAATACGCAAGGAGGTGTTTTGGAGAATGTTGCAGGGCTCTATTCGATTAATTCAAGCTGGTGTATACGGTGAATGCAGATCTCCAACTTCTCCAAAAATGTCAATAAATGTCATAAAAGTAGTCCATAAGACTCTTGCACTATATATACTCCTGCACACAGTCTTCTGAAATTGATATGCACTGAAAATTTCTTCTTTCAACGTAACTATTAGATCTCGTTCATGCACAAACTTATCGAATAGAACAATTTTTTTCCCTGTAGGTCACTCAATATAAGAAGTTATTATTTATTTATTCATTATTCATTTATTTATCGCAGTAACTAAAATTTCAGTAATATAAGCCATGAATTAAACATCATTCTGTAAAATAAGTATAATGAACTACACAAAAAGTGTTTTGAAAGTCTCCAGCATGTTTTATAATACCCAAAAGTCAAACATAGTTCACTCCTCAAGCACGTTATCATGTTCATCAAAAACTTTTCTTTTGGAATATTAGAAGTAAAAACATTAATTTAACACACTCATGGGCATCAGTCACTTCACTGAATTCTTGCTGGGCAAAGAAATATATAATTATTACCTTATGATCTGTTTTCAAATCCACATCCACATTTGAACATCACAACACTGATGTCTGTCAAAAAATAACACGCACAATACACTCTCATATGCTGATAAATAGATTTGATAAGTGAAAGGATATCAAACAACTTGATAGGTGTTTATTTTTTTATGTAAAATATGGTTTGATCTTCTCAGTTATTTAAGAGATTAAGGCAGTTATCAACGTTTTATCTTCGTGGCACTCTTGAGCATTCTGAACAGCCTGACATAACATTTCAACCAATAGTGTGAGTTTGGGGGTGTGGCTATTTGTTTGTTTAACCAATGGCAGATTAGGAGAGTGTTAGAAATCTGTTTGAAAACAATCATTATATTCATTATTCTGTTTGGTGAGGCTGGTGGTGCAGAAATGACATATTTTAAGCAAATATATTTTATGAATATGAGTGAATATGAATGTACTTGGCTATAGATTATATATATAAGTTATCAATTCATTTAGTGAAATCACTGATGCCATTTTCTCACCGGAAAGCACATATTACCTGTTAAACTTGAAATCAGGGTCAAGAAAATGACCAGATCTGAGCTTCTCAAAGTGTGTAGGTACTGTGTAAAGTTACACTGGTTTAATCTATCAATATATGTTTAATCCACAGGAAGTTGCATGGTGGAGTGAAGACCTTTGGCTGTGAGTTCTGTGGAAAGCAGTTCCTGGACAGTTTACGATTGAGGATGCACATGCTGTCTCATTCAGGTAAACCCTCCCGTAAATACCATGATCATGCACGAATGTAGTCCCGATAAGGAAGAAAGCATAGATTACAGTGCCATTGCACAAGTGATACGTGATCACTGTTGTGCAACAAGTGTCAGCCCCCTGTTGCCCCGTGTTTGTCCACCATGTACCGCAAGCTTAACCTGCTGTAACAGATGGAACATTGCACTTCTATTAGTGACGCAGTGTTTGGTTATCCCCATCTTCACACTTCCCTCTCCAGTCTCATATGTGTCTCAACTGTTACATTTCAAGCCTGGCAGAGATCCAGTCTGGGCACTTTGCCACATTGTTAGTACAGTATGTACAGTGAATCTTGCCAGCTTGTTTTTTTTTCTCATTGTAATGAGGAGGTGTAGGACAGAAACACGCTTAAGGGAGGGGATGGATCCAGTTGTTTATATACATCCAAACCCATAATTAAACGATCATGCTGAAATGATGCTGTTACATGTTATGTAAGTGTGTGGTATTGTTTCGTGCCGATGTGTGCTATTAACTTCGAACTTTTGCCATCAGATTTTAGTTATCAAAAGGGTCTGTTGCATAACCGTAGACATAAAATAAACCAGATGTAGACTGCAAAATGAAGTTTAGTGCTGAGACTTTGTGTTTTGGGCTTATGCTGTCCAGCTGTCATCCTGATTTTTATTGTAGCTCCTTTTTAAGATCTTTCCCTTTCAGTCTTTGCTTTACAGAGTCTATTATTTGGTTGACCGACATAGGTTTTCCATAAAAATGCCACTAGTGAAAATTCTGCTATTTAATAAAATTTTATTTGAATTACACATTTAATTATTATTATTATTTTTAAATTACAAATGTTGTTATCATTTAAAAAAAATTCTCTCTTCTTTCTTCACTTTTCGTTACATAAGTATTTAGATACAGATATATAATAGAGATTTACACACACAGCACTACCTCACACCCATGCTTCATATAATCACATGTAAAACCAATTATGAAAAAAAACTTAATTGTTTCTTTTTTAATAATAAAACCACATATAAATTATTTATTAATTTATTTAGTTAGATAGTTCTGTTATGCCCTATCTTTTGTAAAAATAACAATTATTTAAAAAAGAATGATAGCAAATTATATGCACATAAATATGCCAAAAAAAAGCACTTATTTAACAAAATATTTACTCAAAAAAGGAGAAAATTATTAAAATATCAGTTAAAAAATCAGCCTGTACAGTACAATATATATCGGCCTGTTACTATTGGATCGATGATTTAAAATACTAGGAAGCATTTTGTCCCTTTTATGATAGCAGAGAAGGGACATTATTTGGGAAACATGGAGAAATGGCATTGCAACATGTTGCAGGCAGGATTCAAACCTACTTTTTCAGGTCAAGGCTCTCGCCTCAGTATCAGGGATGCTGTGATTGATGCTTATTGAATTCAGTAGTTGCCCACACTAAATTGTGCTTTAGTGGGGAATGTCCTGTTTCAAGTGGAGGGGAAATACACTTAGACTGGCAGCAGGCAGTGTGTGTGTGTGTGTGTGAGAGAGTGTGTGTCCATCTGTCTGATTAAGTCTGTAGTCGTCTCTCTGGAGGGTTTGTGAAGCCCACCTCACTTGACTTTATCAGCACACGTTTTTGTCAAGATTCTGACAGCTCTCTTTGCCAAATGAACTGAAAAGTCCTCTTTCTTTTATCTCTTGTTCTCTGCTTCTTTTTTGTGTGTTTATGAACGCGAGAGGAAGAGATTTATTATTTTTCCCTAAATCCAACCCTCCTAATCTGGTATAAATCAATATCATAAACACTGGCAACAATATTCAGTTACTCCCACATTTAATCTGCTCGTATTCCGCCATCGCACCTGTTCACGCACGACACGAAGCAGAAACGAGAGCGAATCTTCATCATGCGCGGCATTCGGGCTGAAAAGCCCTGTCAAGATGTTTTCTCTTAATGTCTCTTTCTCTTTTTTCTCTGTCTTTCTCTCTCTGTCTGGGAGAAGCCCTGCGCTCGGAGCCTGGTGACACGCCAGCTCTTCCCTCGCACTGATGACATCATCAGCTGCCGGCAGGTCTGGATGTTCTGCCAGCATTCTGGAGCATTTATGATTGCTCGCAGATGTATGTCCAGGAACATACTGTACCCAAATCCCAAAATTAATCAAACTTGACTGCTCTCCAAGCCACTGCTCTCCAAAATAGCATGAGCACTGGGGTGGAGGGAGGACACTGGCGGAGTCCTAAATAAAACAAAAATGCAGAAAGAAAACAGAAATGTTGACTGCAGGCCTTTGGAGGCAGGCTGGAGAGGATGGAGCAGACGTTTGTGCAGCGGTTGAAGTGTTGAAGGGTTACGTCCGAGGGCATGCCCTACAGTACATGCACCACCATGCCAGGTTCTGACGCTTTCCATTAATACAGTATACTAAGATGTAACTTAGTGTATCCTAAATATGTTTGATAAATCTGAAAAATATCTTAGCATAGAAAGTAACTAGTCTAATGTCCGTATCCTCCCTCTGAAAATGTGGATTTTGGCCTGTCAGAGGTCTTGACATCTTCAACTGTGTTTAAACCTTCAAATATGCAAAAATTTTTTCATTTTGACACAATCTGTTGAATTTATATTAAATTCATTGTCAAAATATTTTAATTATTTACTTTTATTTATTGTTTGTTATTATTTAGTATATAGTAATAGTATAGTTTTATATAATGTTACTATTATTATTTATAATTATTAGTATAATTATAATTTATTACATTTATTCTATATATATATATATATATATATATATAAATTATAATAAATAATAATTATACAAATAATTATATTATACATTATATATTACTCATTTTACTCATTCTAACAGTCCTTAAAATTGTGACACCTTGATAAACTGACTTTAAATTTTACCCAAATTTAGGGCTAAATTTCAACCGAGTTACCAAAATGTTTCTGGCATTTTCAAAATTGTATCTGTTTATCTATATATTTATCTATTTTAATAAATTTATGTAAAGACATTTTGCCAAATACATTAGATTTTTAATGTTTATTGAATATTAAATTCATTGTCAAAATATTTTTTTTATTATTTATTATTATTTATGATTTGCTAATCTTACTCATTGTAACAGTCCTTAAAATTGTGACACCTTGGTAAACTGACTTTAAATTTTACCCAAATTTAGGGATAAATTTCAACCCAGTTACCTGCATTTTTCTAGCTTTTTCAAAATTGTATTTTTGAGAACCACTGGATTATAATGACTTATACTGTCTTTTTACGCGTTGCATCGCGCAGCATAAACATAAAACCATGTCTGCATTTGTGATCGGAGATATGACAAACAACAAGTGCTACTCTACACTGCTCAAAACTCGTGTTTAAATCATCAGTGGCAAATCCTTTAAATATAAAAACATTTTGATTAATTTGAGTAAAAATGTGTTTCCTTTACCAAGAAAGTGGCAAGATGAAAGCCACTATTTTCTGTTTCAAACTTTCACATAGCATCTTTAGGTTATTTAATACTAAACACTACTACTACTAACAATAATAATAATTCTAACTTCTATTATAAAACTAAAATTGTTGTTCCCAATTAAGCCATCAGCCAACTGGTATTTACTTTTATTGTACTCTTCTTTCTTCCAGCTGGACCAAAAGCACTAGTATGTGATCAGTGTGGCGCTCAGTTTTCCAAGGAAGACTCCCTGGAAGCCCATCGACAGACTCACACAGGTAGGACCCTTCTTGCCTCATCTAACAGCAAACCACTTCACTACATCACCCTAGTTGACCACAGTGGAAAAAACAACAGAAAAGTGGAGATGCGTCATGCATGTACCAGTAGCAATCATGTTTATGACCCTATCAAAACTCCATTCTGATGGTCTTCTATAATTCAGCAGGGAAGGTTTCGGTGCCGTCTAAAATTTCAGCCAATAATATGTGCTGTTACAGGGCAAGGCGGCACACCGCTTTGGCACAGCAGCATTGCCATGTTTCACCATTCTCCATCACTATGTCTAAACATGGCACGTACATTTGTTAGAGCGACTGTACTGAGTTACCAGAGCCTGTGAGTCATCGACGCTCTGGCACGATCATTAACACGCCAGCAGCATTCAGCTGCCACCCTCCTGTCAAATATTCATATTTACTGACATCTGATGACTGCAAGGATGGGTTTCAGTGGTACTACAGACATTTTAATAATCATATTTTAGGTGAGGTAAATAGTGTGCTCTGATAAGGGTTGGCATGGGATGATATGCTGAGTGTAAAGTTGTTTTTGTTGCTGCATACCTGAGTGCTCTGTCAGGACACATTGAAACATGTACGTAGGCGTTCAACTATAGTCTAATGAAAAGGAAAATTCTGTCATTGTTTACTTAACCTGTTGTTTTTTCATGTGTTATGTTACAAGTCTTCAGAAGCCATGTGATAGCTTTGTGTGAGGAACAGCCAGAAATGATCAAGTCATCTTCCCCTCCAGTGAGCTGTTAACTCGAGAACCACTGCAACTGCATCTTTGATTCAGTGAGTTGAATTTGAGAGCTGGATAAAATGAACAAATCATTCTTTTGATCCAGTTTCAGTGAAATAGCTGATTTGGTTCACAAATCGGGCTGAAATTATTCATTTGTATATTGAACTGATTCGTTCATGAACCCTCACTGAATCAATGATTCAGTCACAGCGGTTCTCGGGAAACAGCTCACTGGAGGGAATAACGACTTAAATTTCAGTCTGTTCTATACAGAAAGCTATTCAGACTCAAAAAGAATGTGTGACTAATGTGTGGTGGATTTTTTGTCAGTTTTGGGGCCTAACTGTCATAGTCATATAGCCTAACTACCTTGATGGCAATACCAGTTTGAGTCCAGCTTTTGACATTTCCTGATCATATTCCTGCATCTTTTCCTGTCCTCACTCCACTATTTCTATCAAAAAAGTGAAAGGTAAATGCCACAAATGTCCCTGATTCTACTGTATATACAGCAGTCACAGAAGGAAGAACTTAAGCATGATTAAAAATGTCTAAATGTCATAGCTTGTCACATAAAATCAACCCCCTCCAGTGAGCCGTTAACACAAGAACCATTGCGACTGGATCTTTGATTCAGTGATTCAAGGTTCAACTGGATCACATGAGCAGGTCATTCTTTTGATCCAGTTTTAATAAACCAGCTGATTCAATTCACAATTCAAGCTGAATGATTCATTCATGGATTGAACTGATCTCACAGAATAAGTGATCCAGTCACTGCAGTTTTTGGGTTAACAGCTCACTTGAGGGAATAATGACTTAAATTTCAGCCTATTCTACAAAGAAAGCTATTCAGACTCAAAAAGAATGTGTGACTGATGTGTGATGGGTTTTTTGTCAGTTTTGGGGCCTAGCTGTCATAGTCATATGAACTGACTTGGTGGCAATACCAATTTGAGTCTAGATTTTTACATTTTACTGATCACATTTCTGCTTCTTTTCCTGTCCTAACCTCACTGTTTATATCAATAAAAGTGAAAAGAAAATGCCACAAATGTCCCTGAATCTACTGTATATACAGCAGTGGCATTCCGTCCATATAAGCTGCGAATGCTCCACATACCCAGGCCATTTGAGAGAATAAGTTCATGGGATAATTCATATAAACATGATTATAAGTTGATCCCTTGTCATTTGAAATGTAACTTAAAGCTTAAAGAGTTAGGGATAAGTACTTATAATGATTTATTTGCCAAACGGCAGTCGTTTTCTTTAAATCTACCAGTTGCGGTTGCTTCCGGGCGAGCGGATTCTCCGCAGCTTTCTCGCCTCCGCTCTGACTCGTCAGGATTGTAGCGCGTTCTCAGTGATTTGTTGGTCTGCGGCAGATTTAATGCGCGAGGTAAGCTGTCTGCCAAGCGCTCGCCCAAACGGAAAAATGTGCTGTTGCTATCAGATCTCGATTGCCGAAAATCACATTGTGTTTGAGGCAAAACCAACTCGACTAAATCAAAAGAAAAAAACACGGTAACTGTATATTTTTGTTTTCTCAAGCA